AAATGGGTTCAATATCTCGGTCCTATTTCACAGAAATGCCTTTTTCAGAAAATCAAAACACACACACACATATAAACAACTGATGCTTTGATTTCAGAATCGCTTAAAAGCAAATAAAAATAATAATAATTACAAATGAAAAAAAAATTAGAATAGTGCCAGAAAACAGTGAATGGAAGTACACTTTAAACCAAGCATAAACCATATAGATTAGCATCTCAGATCATATTTCCATAGAGGCGTGTGTGTGTGTGTGTGTGTGTGTGTGTGTGAGCAAAATAAAACCCCAACAGTGAAGGGTGACCCGCCACTGTCTCACAGGAAATTACATCCATGAAGCTGTATATCCCTCATTCGAGGTCCTCAGAATAACAATCCAGCATCTAGTATAACAATAATCATCCTAATGACAACGCCACTGGTTTGAATCTGTAGTCGTATCTATAAGGTCTACTGAGAGAATGACGGACAGACAGACAGGCAGGCACCACAGTATCTGTGATGAACATCAACACCAAACAGGAAATCAGTCTTATGTCGACAGCAAGTATCCTGTTAGAGATTCTATTTGGCATCTGAAAGGAGTGAAGAAACTATTGGGAGGTAAATAGTTGCAGCTCATTGTTGAATATATAGTGTTAGGAAAAAACGAAGCATGTTACATATTTTCTGATTTTTTGATTGATTTGTCAATCCAATTCATTGGAAAACTAATGGACTTCCAAAATGGCTATCATGATCAGATCCCAAAGGAATCTGCAAACTGCTGAATTTGGGGCAAAATCTCTAGTCTTCCTTGACTAAAAATGTGTTAACTGAATAGTCAAATTAACAATATCGCAACCAAAACAGAGAAAATATTTAGAGGAGAACGTATTACAACTGATGAGTTTGATTAGAATAAAACTCATTAATTCATCCACCGCAGGACGGACACAGGAGGACAATTACAAAAATATCTGCCTGCGTGACCCACAGCTGATGGTGTAACAAAGAAAATCTAGCTCAAATATATATAGATATACCCAGCTGGTGTCTATTATTTTGTACAAATAACTGGAAGTCATTCTTATTAGTTGCCTACAGTGAGCGGTGATGTTTGTGTGAGGTTGGCATAGTGGCGTAGTTTCAACAACAAAACTAGATATAAATATAGATATAGGTCTATATATTCTCAATTTTCTTCACTTCCTTGCATTCTCTTTGCTTCTTAAAGGATGACATTATGCATTTTACAGGTAATTATTTTCCTATTTGGTAAATGTGTAGACATTGCCGTGTTTTATGCATTTGGTTCTGAAAAAAAAAAAGTCCTTTGGGCAATATAATCATTGACAGCAGCATCTAAAGTAAACAGTAGCAGCAAGTAAGATAATAAATAAATATAATAATAGTAATAATAATAGCAGATAATAACCGTTTCAAGGATAATGAAAAACAGTAAGATGCATAACAACACAAACTAATTAACACCTAAAAATAAAAATTGGTACATTGGTTCAAAACAATTGAAAGCTTTTATGCAACGTCCAGCTAGCTCACAACACGGTGATCTAGAAAACAACCAACACCTGTTAACTGTAAGCCCTCAGCAAACCTCTAAAAAAGAGCCGATACTTTCTATAAGACTTCACTGGAGACTTTCTTTAATACTTCCTATATGCCTTCCTCTAATTTTCCCTTCCCATCCCGTTATTTCCTCTGCTACGTTCATTACTCTTTCTTCAATCCCTTATATATCACCATACTTCCCGTCTCAACGTACCGTTACCATCTACAGCTTTTTCATATTTTCTTTTTCTTCTCGCACTCTTTCTCACACAGTCTAGCAGTGATTTTGGCTTTTGAAAGCAGTGAATCTCAAACTCTACAGCTTTGGTTGTGAAAGTCGCTGAACATCTTCAGCACAACCCACGAGTAGGTGCTGAAATCCTCTGAGAACAACAGCTTGGCAGAAAAAAAAGCAGTGCTGTGTCGAAAAAAACAAGCTTTGGTTTGCAGGAACTCAAATGCTCATGGGAAAAAAGAGAACGGTGAAGAGAATGAAATGATGAACTGTTGTCTGGGAAGAGGAGTCAGGTGAATCAGAGCAGAAATCTTCCACTCACAAAACAAGCCAATTTTTTCATTCTTGTGGAGGAAATGCTGGAAACGAACTGCTCTCGCTGCAGAAACTCCAACTCCCCCGCATGTCTCTCAACACCACTCTAAATGACTATGACAACATCTCTCATCTATGCTTTTGGTGACTTGATTGCACACTCTAAGACTGAAACACAGCTAAATCTTGTTAAAATATCCATTTCTAACACTTGTCTTCCTGAGGTGTACACTGTGTATGACATTACACATTCTGGGCTAATTTTTTTGTGTTTTATCTAGTGATAGACCGATACATAGTCCAATATTTGGCCATTTTGAGATTATCACCATTGGCCGATGAACAGAAGTGTTTCGAGATATCGTCATCAGCCAATGAAAGTGAAGTGTGTAATTTCTGAATGACTAGCATAACGGAATTACACAAACACCAACGTTACTTATAAACATTATAATAACATTTTCAAACAGGTTTTCCAGAACATTTCCCCCGTTTGCCATTGGTCAGACAAAGCAGATAGTCCCGCCCCAAATTTACACCATTGCTTCTCAAGCAAACAAAAATTGGTCATTTATGGTTGTCTCTGCATATTAAATTGGGATAGACACTTCATCTTATCGGTCAACCACTAGTTTTATCTTAATATACAACCTTCTCACTTAGCCAATATATCTATTTTCAATACATGAAATTCTAGACCAAACTAGTTATAACAAGCTAAACACCAAGGATTAGAAATTCGACTAAGAATCACTAACTCTTTAAGTACACGTTACTGAAATATCTGCTGATGCTTGCCAGCAAAAGAACACTTCTATAAAACAGTTTTTGATATATCACACCACTATTATCTCACTAATTTCTATTTGCTTAGATTTGCCTAATGGCTAAGTGTACTTAAACCATACAGGAAAGTGAAGAGCTAGGACTGATAAACGGATAACACACACACACACACACACACCATTGCACAGTGTTGTTTGACTACTCTGTTCAGTCCCTGAAACAAGCTAAACACCAAGGATTAGAAATTCTACGACTAAGAATCACTAACTCTTTAAGTACACGTTACTGAAATATTTGCTGATGCTTGCCAGCAAAAGAACACTTCTATAAAACAGTTTTTGATATATCACACCACTATTATCTCACTAATTTCTATTTGCTTAGATTTGCCTAATGGCTAAGTGTACTTAAACCATACAGGAAAGTGAAGAGCTAGGACTGATAAACGGATAACACACACACACACACACACACCATTGCACAGTGTTGTTTGACTACTCTGTTCAGTCCCTGAGTAAGGGGCTACGGAGGATTTCTTGACATGTGGATTTGGATTTTGAAGTGAACGGATTGTATGCTTACTCTTGTGGCTAACCTTTATATGGCAGTCAGTGATCGTGATTTAGTGAAGCTGTGTGTTACTGTAAATGTATGTGTGTGCCACAGTGACTGTGTTAAACTGCAATGGTCCATCCTGTTCGATGGGTGGATGAGAAGGAGAAAAATATTTCAGATTTACATCAAACCTGCCCAGGATTGTCTGTCGATCAGTCAAACTCCCAAATGAACATTCTCTCTTTTGTTTCAGCCATTTCTCTCTCTCAAACGGTCCATTTCCACTCCATCCTGTCTTTTTCGTTTACATAATTTATATTTCAAACCTGTCCATCTGTGTCTCTAAATCAACCTCTCAAAATCGCATTATTCTTTCTCTCCCGACATCCCTCCGTTTCTCTCGATCTCCGCCTGGCTACCTGCTGAAAAGAGAGTGGAGCTGGTGATGGCTGAAGCACTGGCTGCTGCGAGGAGACTCTGTGCGCTCCATCACCGTCTGGAACCAGCCCGCCACGTCTACTTCTGACACTTCATAACGACGGATAAAACTGTGTTCCTACAGAAAAAAAGACCACTTGTGTGAACAAATGATCAGAAAAGTTATACAAACTGGCTATATTAAAACAGCACTACAACAAATGCTCGAGTTACGTGGGAGACTGAGACTTACAAGCAGCTTGTGGTATTTTGGCCTTTTTCTGTGATCCTTTGTGAGGCTGTAGAGACAGAGAAGACTTAGATTGGAACAAAACTCACACATAAACACAATAGGCAAGGCAAGTTTATTTATATAGCACATTTCATACACAATGGTAATTCAAAGTGCTTTACATATAAGAAATTTTAAAAAAATAATCACAACAATAAAACAAGGAATTTAAAACTTTGAAAATGATTTAAAAATTGATTTAAGAGTTGTCCAGGTATCCATTTGAGTTTAAGTATTTGTTCAGCTGATTAAAAACGACCTTTTCAATAATGTTGCCTATAAAAGGAAGATTTGATATTGGTCTATAGTTGCTCAATATGGTGTTATCAAGATTGCTCTTTTTCAGAAGGGGTTTAACAACTGCAGTTTTCAGGGAGTTTGGAAACGTCCCAGAAAGAAGTGAGGCGTTCACCACTTCAAAGAGATCTGCTTCCAAACAGTTAATAGACAGATAGACAGATAATAGACAGATACTGGTGCTAAAATGTCATGTATAAGTTAATGTGAGTGTACCAGTCTTTGACGAAGGACTGAAAGTCAGGGGAAAAGCCCATGCTGAGAGGAAGGACCGGTGGGTCCTCTTGCAGAACTTTGGTGAGAACCTCAAAGTCTGTCTTGCAGTTCTTGTAAGGAAACTGTCCCGTGGCTAGCTCCACCTACAGGTGAGGAGGAATAATTACTTACAGATGCAGATGTAGATTGTAGGGGTGTAACGGTACACGTATTCGTACCGTATGGTTCACGGGGCAAATTCCAAATGGAAGTGATCATCCCTATGCCTTTGAAGGGCAGAGCAATGTTTTTGAGATGATAGTATGCTGATTTAGTTACTGCTTTGACATGACTACTGAAACTAAGGTCTGTCTCCAGAATCACACCAAGATTCCTGACTTTATTTTTAGTTGTTAGACCCCTAGAGTCAAGGTATGCATTCACCTTGAGAACTTCATCTTTGTTTCCAAATGCAATGACTTCAGTTTTTTCCTTGTTTAACTGAAGAAAGTTCTCGCACATCCAACTGTTAATTTCATCAATGCATTGGCAGAGGGAGTCAATGGGGCTGTAGTCATTTGGAGATAAGGCTAGGTAAATCTGGGTATCATCTGCATAGCTGTGATAGGCGATTTGGTTCTTTCTCATTATTTGACTTAGTGGGAGCATATACAGGCTAAACAAGAGCGGTGCAAGTATTGAGCCTTGTGGGACTCCGCATGTCATGGACGTCCACTTAGACTTATGCTCTCCTATACTCACATAATAACCTCTCCCTTCTAAGTATGACCTGAATCATTTGATTACCATCCCAGAAAGCCCTACCCAGTTTTCCAGTCTCTCTAGTAGTATGTTATGATCGACAGTGTCAAATGCAGCACTGAGATCTAGTAGTACCAGCACTGATATTTTGCCAGATTCAGAATTTAAGCGAATATCATTTATTATCTTAATGAGCGCTGTCTCTGTGCTGTGATGCGGTCGGAAACCAGATTGAAAATTGTCCAGGTATCCATTTGAGTTTAAGTATTTGTTCAGCTGATTAAAGACTACCTTTTCAATAATCTTGCCTATAAAAGGAAGATTTGATATTGGTCTATAGTTGCTCAATATGGTGTTATCAAGATTGCTCTTTTTCAGAAGGGGTTTAACAACTGCAGTTTTCAGGGAGTTTGGAAACGTCCCAGAAAGAAGTGAGGCGTTCACCACTTCAAAGAGATCTGCTTCCAAACAGTTAATAGACAGATAGACAGATAATAGACAGATACTGGTGCTAAAATGTCATGTATAAGTTAATGTGAGTGTACCAGTCTTTGACGAAGGACTGAAAGTCAGGGGAAAAGCCCATGCTGAGAGGAAGGACCGGTGGGTCCTCTTGCAGAACTTTGGTGAGAACCTCAAAGTCTGTCTTGCAGTTCTTGTAAGGAAACTGTCCCGTGGCTAGCTCCACCTATGGGTGAGGAGGAATAATAACTTATAGTAGTACATGTAGATTGTATTTTGAATTACATCCCTTTACTTACATTAACACTACTGTTCAAAAGTTTAGAGTCGGTATGATTTCTTAAAAATGTTTTTCAAAGAAGTCTCATATGCTCACCAAGTCTGCATTTATTTAATCAAAATAGGGCTGCACGATTAATCGAATGTGATTGTCATGCGTATCTTGTCAGTAAAGCCGGTTCTGTGATTAGTAGTAAATCTCCAGCACGTGCTTTCAGATGGAGCAGCATTTACTACACAGAGCCGTAGTTCACTGACAAGCTACGCAAAATCGAGTGAGGCGTTCACCACTTCAAAGAGATCTGCTTCCAAACAGTTAATAGACAGATAGACAGATAATAGACAGATACTGGTGCTAAAATGTCATGTATAAGTTAATGTGAGTGTACCAGTCTTTGACGAAGGACTGAAAGTCAGGGGAAAAGCCCATGCTGAGAGGAAGGACCGGTGGGTCCTCTTGCAGAACTTTGGTGAGAACCTCAAAGTCTGTCTTGCAGTTCTTGTAAGGAAACTGTCCCGTGGCTAGCTCCACCTACAGGTGAGGAGGAATAATTACTTACAGATGCAGATGTAGATTGTAGGGGTGTAACGGTACACGTATTCGTACCGTATGGTTCACGGGGCAAATTCCAAATGGAAGTGATCATCCCTATGCCTTTGAAGGGCAGA